AAAACATGAAGGTTTAATTATACTTTAGGGATTAGGAAAGATTTTTGTCCCTGTGATTTTTTCTATTGGCTGAACTATAACTGTCTTTTTCAACCTAGGCAACTTTTGGATTACCCTCCACTTTCCTTGCCAGAGACAATGGTCAACAGGACCAATAGATAGGTTTTTATCGCTGTTTGGGTCCCCTCTGAGAAGGTTAACCCTGACAGACTTACCCTTTCCACACTACCCCAAAAACAAGAAAAAGTTAAGGCTTTTGGAGATTTTTCATTAAAGTTTTTACAGACACCGTCAAGAACAAACAAGAGGAAGAGTGGGTAAAAATGTGTAAAGGAAAAGGAAAGATTTAATATTTTTATGTCGAGGGTTTACATACACTAAGTTGTCGCCTTACTCCAAACTGTCAAATGCCAAGTACAATGATTATTATTAATACATAATATAGTTAACAATTTTCATTATCGCTTGGTTGGATCGCCTAGCTCTCTCCTCCACGCTGGGAGGAGGGCACAGCAAGCAGTGGGCATGTGCAATAGCCAGCCTGCTATTGCAATTTCAAATGGCCAATAGCGGGCTGGCTATTGCACCAGCCCGCTACCTGCTGTATTTACATTCAGCTGCCGTCTGTTGAATCTTGCCACTGGCAGTTGTCATTCCCTGGCTGAAGCTATTCAAGCACCATGTGCAATTTAAAAAAAAAAAATTATATATAATTATATGAATAATGTGAAACCTCACGCCACTACACCAATTAAGTTAAAGGAGAACTATGAGTCACATAGGTCGGTCACAGGTCGGCTCAGTAGATCGGGAGGTGAGCGAACACATACCGGCGTTCGCTCACCTCTCGATCCTGTCACGGCTCTCTGCCGTGACAGGGGAGGGGCTGGTTTCTCCCCTCCCCGCTCCGGCAGCGCTGACTGGCGGAACGGACGTTGGAGGGCATAGCTGGCTCTGCCTCTAGATAGGCAGAGCCAGCTGTCAGTCAAGTAGCTGGGCGGATCCAGACATAATTGTCGGGATCCGCTTCAACTGCGGTGTCTTAGTATACCGCAAGCAGCCGCTCACGGTATACTTCGGCGTCTCAGTATACCGCGAGCTGTATACTAAGCCTAGGGTGACGGGAGGACGCTAGTTTGTGTCCTCCCGTTACCCTAAGGAGAACTATGGGGAAAAACACTGACCCCATAGTTCTCCTTTTAGCAGCAGCTGAAATCTGTGTGGTCAGATATATAGTATAAAGTTAATAGTAAAAGCCGCGCTGTGTGAATGAAACTGCAAAAGTGTCAGATATAGTAGATACAGAACTTGAAATAATGTGATACATGTGATACAATGTGCAAAACAAATAAGAAACGCATGTATACACCATGCACCTCAGTGTAAATGCATTGCTACAAAATATCCACACCCCTGATGAAGTCACGCCCTTTGAGGTAACGTACGTAGGGTGGAGTAGAGGAGCTGAGCGATTGCACACAGTGTCTGTGGCTGCTTACTTAAAACCTTATTTTTATCTAGGATATGTGAGTAGTATCCTTTTAAAACCATCTGCACTACGAGTCTCCACTTTTTATTTGATGAATGGGCCATTCGGATGAATTGTCTGCTTTCAACTCCTGAGACTGCAAGAGAGTCTGTACCTGAGAGGAGGAAATCACTGGGAGGTGCTTCCTCTACCATTTTCCTAATGGACTATTGAAGATCCAGGATCATGGACATTTTTTAACCATTTATTATTTTCACTGAAGTGCATATTATACACATGCGTTTTTTCTAGTTATTCTTTGCACATTACATCACATTGTTTCACAGTTAACATGTATTGTATTTGATTTTCCATTATGGATATTTTGTAGCAATGCATTTACACTGGTATATACATGCGTTTATTTGTTTTACACATTTTGCCAACAATCATCCCACGTTCAAAGGCTGTTAAATCGTGTGGCTTACCCGTATCTTCAGAAACAAATCACTTCTACTGCCGTGGTAAACAACCTGCTTCCCTATTTATAATGGTCTGGCCCTCTAGCAACTTCAGCACAAAATTATAGCTAATTTGCCTACAAACGTCAGGTGGCCATAATATAATAATCTGGTCACTCAGTGTATATATAAAGTTTTGGCCTGACAAATTCTGCTGAGGGAGGTGCGTTGCAGTGGCATTCATTTCAATGGCACCTAAAATGCGCCTCCCACCCACAGTGTGATCGCTCGGTACCACAATGCTGAGTGTTCCAGTGTGATTGCAAAAAATTGTGCATGCAGTTTTATTCTGAAGTAAAAACTTTGTAACACTTAATTTGTATATTATATTTTAAATCAACGATGGTATTTCATTTTTATATCCAATTAATTGAAAAGAAATAATCGGCTAACTAATCGATTATGAAGATAATCATTAGTTGCACCCCTAAATAGTTCATCAGATGTAGACAACATGTAGCAGAACTAGAGTTACCAGCATTATTACTGCCACAACCTCACTTGAAAGACTGGGAGGAAGACACATTTTATTATATAGCGTGCATAACCAAAGCAAAAGCTCATGACGGGACAAAAGGGGACAAGTATAGAACTAAAAAACTTAAGGGCGAGAGAGAATATTCAAAATTGTATTAAAATTATTACAACACATCAAAATGATTTGATTGATTTCAAAACCTCCAATTCCTAAGTGTGGATAAGTATGACCCCCTCAATTACAGATAACAGAAAATTCTATAATTCCAGGTTGACACGTTTCATGGATTTTCTTCACTTTCTCAGGAACTCTGGGATAGATGATCATAGTTATAGGTGCGAAGACCACAATATATTGTAGAATATGTATTTAAACTGCCCATTTCCAATGTAAACCCTAAAAACAGCACAAAAGCAACCACCATAAAATACCAATTCAACATATTAGGACTAAAGGTTCAATTTCCAACTGACCTTTGACCACTCAGCATAAAGGAGCCCCCACCTTCAGGAAGTGCACCATTAAACTAACTGCGTGAAAGCTGTACCTTTCTGGGGGCTGTTTTCATGCCCTTTTAGGCCTCATTCACATGTGCGCGAACATCTGTACAGCATGCACGCCTGCAGAGACCTGCTCCCAGGAGAGAGAGGAGCTGCGTGTAAATGAGTGCAGCCATCTGTATCACCCTATGGGAGGAAGAAGCAACATGCCAACCCAAACCAGGACATCCGAGCAGGTCCAACTGCCTGCGCATGGACGCACACTGTGGGGGAATTTATCAGAAGTGGAGCAAACAGAACCTGGAGCAGTTACCCATGGCAACCAATCAGCATCTCTCTTCAGTTTGCTCAGGTAAGATTTGAAAATGAAAGATAGAAGCTGATTGGCTGCAATCCAGATCTGCTCCAGTTCTGATAAATTCCCCCCTGTGTGTCTAAGTGCGGGCACCTGGAACTGCACAGATGTGCAGGTTCCGGGTCAGCGTGTAGCCGAATCCTCCCATAAGTAAGAGGTACAGATGCCTGCATGCAGTTACACACGAAGCACCCATCCCTCCCGAGAACAGGTCTTTGCACAGGCATACAAGCACATGTAAATGAGTCCTTAGGGTTTACTTTAACAATCTGAATATATTTATAATTATGAAGACGCTGGTTATCTGCTTGCAGCCCATTCATGTTTGAAGTGTGGCCCTTGGGCCCCAGTGGTCAACATAACCATGATCTCTAGCAGTTTCATGTTAACACCTCCCCAGTCTCCAATTGCCTTCTACAGTGTGACTCCTGTCTCCAACCACTCCTGTAGAACAATCTCTGACCATTTCCTCTAGCAAGTTCCTCAGTCCATGACAACCTTCTACTGCATTACATATTAAGAGAAATCAAGGGCCATATTTGAGGCCCTCTATTCCTTGTAAATTGACAGCCGCTGTCATATCTACGATCAATGAGGTCCTGAAGAAACAGAGGAAGCCTGTGAAACATGTTGACCTGGTATTGCTCTAACAGCTGTAATTGAGGTGGTCATTCTTCTCATGAATGTATGAGGTATGGAAATCAATCAAATCATGTTGGGATGACAGCAATCTAAGAAATATAGATCCAATTCTCGGTCACTATACCAACCGACAAATCCTAACCTGCTGCAATAACCAATCCTGCAGAGGTCCAGCACCTGGTCACATGACCCATGCCATTTTTCCATAAGCTCTCTGGCAGAGGATGTTCATGGGATGTCATCAGAAGACAGCTCAGGCAGGATCCACATATACCAAGGGAAATTGATCAAAACTGGAGCAGCTGTCCATGGCAACCAATCAGCTTCTCTCTTTCCTTTTCAAATCTTAACTGAACAAACTGAAGAGAGAAACTTATTGGTTGCCATGTACATCTGCTCCAGTTTTGATAAATCCCCCCATTGCCACATTTAAAAGGTGTTTAATATTATTAGGACATCTCAAGGTCACTAGTGTGGCCTCACTGCAAGCCTAGCCGTCATTCTGCTCATCTCCTTAGTACATTTAGCGGCAGACACGACTCACTAGAAGACAACCCGCAGCACCAATGACAGTACGACTTGACGCGGACCAATAGGACGACAGAACGCAACGATGGATCTCTCCGCGAGTGGCTGCGCTCACCTGTGCACATCACTCCATAGCAACTGCGCGGTACCCTCCCGCTGCCGGAGGATGGAGGAAAAGTAGTCCCCCGTCCATTGGAGAAGCGACAGTGTGCGAACGGAGGACTAGCAGGCGATGCTGCCGACCTCTCCTGCATCCACACTGAGCGAGCGCCGGCAGACAGCTACATCCCCGGACAATGAGAGAAGGCGCAGCAAGGGAGAAACTTCACAGCACGTCACAGGAAGGAGACGGGTGGAAGGATGGGGTGACATTGACACCCGAGCACACACATCGCTGACGTAACCGGACAGGTATCAGCGCCCCGATACATATGTACAGGATGACAGATGCCTGGGAACATCTCATATGTGAGTGTAGGGGCTGCAGGGGGAGCCGGGGGAACATTACCTTCTTGACGGTACGAGGAGCCTCACTGATTGCGCCCTCCGGGCTCCCTGCGCCCTCTCCGCCCTCTCTCGGGCGCTGCGCCTGGTCGCTTCTCTTCAGAGCCGAGGCGGGAAGCCCCTTCGTCGGCTGGCTGAGCGGCGGGGTGGAGGAGTTGTTGTCGGGTTCGGCATTGGCAGCCGAGACCAGCGGAGCCCCGTCATTTGACTTGTCCTCCTTCAGCTCCACATCTGCCATCTTCGCGGTGACCAGCTGTACGGACATGGCGAGCGCTGATGCGGTATCCTCGGCTGCCTCCTGATGCACACAAACACTACCACGCTGCCGGCAGCCGCTGGCACGCCCCCGCGCCTCTGCCCGCCCTCCTCGCTGTGCGTCATGGGAAGCGTAGTTCCTTCTACGGCGTTGGTGCAGACATGCGCAGCCGGAAGAAACCACAAATCCCAGTATTTAGTGCGCTCTGCGCCTTTCTCACAGAGGCATGACGGGAAATGTAGTGCCCGCTCCTTTTCGATGTCTACGGAAAAGTGTAAATTGACTACAATATCCATCAGTCCTTGCAGAGCTAGGTATGATAAAGGTGTAAGGGGCTGGACTTCACTGTTTCAATTATCTTTATTAGCAATGGGGATGGGTGTGAGGTTTCAGAGGCTATCTCTTCTTGTACTGAGTGTATAGGCGGCAGTGTAAATAAGTGATTGGCCTCGTTAAATGATAAGAATGCGAATATTTCCGTGTAAATACGTGCAGTGGGCAGTCCCTGTAAGAAATATGAAAAACAGATAAGAAATCACCTTCAAGTATGGATATTGGCTATGTAAAATAATGGATTGTCACTGCTGCTTGGCCTTGATGCATGTCATATATAATATGAAGGCTTTAACTACAAATCTAGAAGGTTAGATAATCTTTATACAATCTCCTTTACATCTATGAAAACTATGGCATATGAGGACAACCTAAAACAATACATTCAGTTTGTATCAAATCAGGCAAACCCTTACCCTATATAGTTGATGGTAGATCTGAACGAGGTAGCAGCTACAATCATATTGTACAGTGTATGGCCAGCTTGAGGTCCCGTTCACACCAGGGCGGTTAGTCCGCACGGATTTGGCCGTGCGGATCCGCCGACATGAACGATCCCATACATTGCGATGGGCAATAGGGACCGTTCATGCGGCTCCACGCGATCCAAACCTCCCGCCCGAAGTTCTCCTACGCTGATCAGTGCGGTTTCCATACTGCTTATAGTGGAACCGCACTGTTCAGCTTGGTTTTGGGCGTTTTTAATTGCGCTTCAGCGCTGAAACGCAACTAAGAACACCCAAAACTGCCCTTTTAAAATCTGCGGAAACCGCACTGATCCGCAACCGCCCTGGTGTGAATGGGGCCTGAGACTGCTATCTGCGTAGATTAGTTAAGGTGGTCATACATTGTACAATCTGCATATTCCTTTAGACTTAGGGTTAGTTCACACCATCAGCAGTGCGTTCCAGTCCGATTCAGAACCAGAACGCACTGCCCGCATTGCGGCCGGCTCCCTAATTTGCTGTGCAGGAGGGGGCATGGCGTGCCATTGAAGTGAATGGCACCGTAGCCACACCCCGCGGCTGCAATGCGATGGACCCGCACGGCAACCCCAAGGCACATTGTGCCTGCAGTGCGTTCCGTGCGGTTGCATTCAAAATGCTGCAAACACGAGTCGGGTGCGCCTACGCATGAAAACGACGAACGCGCTACACATGTTGGATATCGCCGTGCACGCCGGAGTGAGAGCAAAAATTCTAGGGCCAGTATTTTTGGGTATCTCTAAATTGATGACCTGTGGGGGCTTTTAAAGTGTCATCTTTGTACTTTTTGGGGTACTGAAGTTTTTTGCTGTTTCACGGACGCACACAATTTTTTAGCCGGGCATGTTGGGTCCATGTTCGAAAGTTCGAGTTAGAACCGAACACGGGGGTGTTCGGCTCATCACTAGTTGTAACCTCATCTTTTATATTTTATTAAAATAATGGTGACACTAATCAAGCGGCGGCCATATTGAGTGGGGCACGTGAGATTAATAACGTTCTGTATTAGTGTGATCCTAGTTCATTTTATTACTTCATTGCTGTGCTGTATGTGTATAGGCCAATGTAGTGCAAAAAAAACAGTTTTTAAAATTAAAATCAAAATAAATAAATCCAATAATAATAATAAAAACTTTTTAAAAGTCCCCCGCCCCCGCGAGCACGCGCATCTCTACGTAAACATGCGTCGGGTGCGCCTACGTATGAAAACGACGAACGCGCTACACATGTTGGGTATCGCCGCGCACGCCGGAGTGAGAGCAATAATTCTAGGGCCAGTATTTTGGGGTATCTCTAAATTGATGACCTGTGGGGGCTTTTAAAGCGTCTTCTATGGACTTTTTGGGGTACTGGGGTTTTTCGCCGTTTTACGGATGCACGCAATTTGTAACCTGGGCATGTTGGGTATCGTTTTACTCGTTGTAACCTCATCTTTTATATTTCATTAAAAAAATGGGTATTTTGTTGTGTTTTGGGGCATTTAATTAAATTTTTCACTAAATATTGGGGTTTAATAAGGAGTTGCGCTAATATTGCGCAACATAAAAATTTGCAACTACCACCATTTTATTCTATAGGGTCTTGGCATTCAGAAAATATATAATGTTGGGGGGTTTTAAGTCATTTTCAGGCCTAAAATGTGGAATATAACATGGGTGCAAAAAATGAAAAAAAGGCCTCAGTCATGAAGGGGTTAAAAAGTAATTATGAAGTTTGCAAAGGCTTGTGGTGCACACTAAGTGGAATATTTTTCAATCAAACTTTTTGTGACCTTAAAATGTGTAGTGAGAGGTATTTTAACCCCTTCGTGACGGGAGACGTGCACTGTACGTCCCGTCACGAAATGCCTATATGACTGGCCACATACACTGTACGTGACGAGTTATATCAGGCTTTGTAATGCCGGTAACCGGTGAGTCTCAGCAGTTACCAGTCATTAATGAATGCCTCAGTATTGAAATAGTTAAGCTTTTGTAAAAGCTTCTTTCTTTCATTAATGAAAGAGTGAAGCCTTTACATGCAAATACGGGACAGCTAAATAGCAATCCCGTATTTGACAGCTGAAAATAGCAGAGAGGTTTGACAGCTCGATAGCCCGATGTTTATGATACATTTCACCAAAGAGATACAATGTATCTCTTTGAGTGAAATGTATCATACTTCTGATCGTCTGAGCTGATCAAAGACCTTTTAGTGAGCTCTGAATCTGACATGCTGTCAGGATCAGTCTCTAAGGTTATTATTAGCTGTTCCTAAGTTTGGAGCAGCCTAATAATAGCCAAAACATTTTTTAAAAAGTTATTGTTTTTCAAGCAGTCACAGTGACTGCTTGATATAAACTGACCAAAAAAAAAAGTTTTTTTTTTTTTACAAAGTGTAAAAAAAATAAAATAAAGTGTAAAACAAAATTAGGAAAATAAAATTATATATAAATATATTGTTTATACTATAATTATTATAACAAATTTAAAAATAATAATAATTAAAACTTGAAAAAAAGTGTTTTCTTCTAGTTTTTTCCCTCATGTTTTTATATTTTATTCAAACTAAGTGAGGCGTTAAGTACACATGTTTGATATGATTATATAGCCCTATCTGTCCTCTAAAAAACAATATATAATACTGTATTTTGCGTTCCATAAGACGCACCGGGCCATAGTACGCAGGGAGGTCCGGTGCGCCTTATGGAGCACTCGACAGACCGTAGCTTCTGTCACAGCTTCTATGACAGAAGCTGTGACAGAAGCTGCAGTTAGTGATCGTATTAAACGAGCAGTGGCTCCTACTACTGATCTCGATCGCCGCCACCGCTGCTCGGTTTTAATACGAGTGATCTCATTAGATAACTCGTATTAAACGAGCAGTGGCTCCTACTACTCGCCCGGCGCCCGAAACTGCATGTCTCGGGCGTCGGGATTCGCTCCATAAGACGCAGGCACAATTTCCCCCTCCTTTTGGGGGGAAAAAAGTGTGTCTTATGGAGCGAAAAATGCGGTATGTGTTGGTACATTTAGTAAGAAAGTATATTACTGCTGTGGAAGAATCACACAGCAAAAATGTAAAAAGTGTGTCAGCCATTTATGAACAGAAACGGAAAACTAGCTCAGTCATGAAGGGGTTAATTAAACATGGTTCCAGACTAAAGAAAGAGAGGGCCGGGAAGTTGAAGGGATTATTCCAGAAATTGTATGATCTGGAGGCCTTCAATAAGGTAAAAACGACATAAAAAAATGCCAATCAACTAAAAGAAGTTAGAAGAGACATATGTAAAGTTCTGGACCAACAAACACTAGAGCATACAAAACGGGGGAGGAAGGTTAATAAAGTATAACAACAAAAATGTGTTGAATCAAGTTAAATGGAGGGTCCCCTGCTTCTATATATTAGCAAAAGATACAATTTTCCCCAATAGGGGATCCCACCATTCTTTCAAAGTATACAGCAAATGTTTATAAAAGTATATTTATTTTCATTACTTGGTATCAAGAGAATTTCCTTGTATCTAGAATTTCCACAAATTTCCTACTTTGTGGAAATTCTAGATACAAGGAAATTCTTGATACCAAGTATAACAACTGAAAATATTGAGGCTTTCCAGGGTGTGCCCTTTACTTATTGTTTCCACATGCTTTGTTTCAATCATTAGCCGAATGCAGTCATATATATGTTTGTTCGGGTTTTGATATATATATTTTTTGATATGTATGTTTTTTTAATATATTTAAAATAAATATACTTTTATAAACATTTGCTGTATACTTTGAAAGAATGGTGGGATCCCCTATTGGGGAAAATTGTATCTTTTACCAACAAACACTAATTGCCAGAGATGGAAATAAAAATCAATATTATAAAGAAGGGGATAAGTGTGGAAAGTTACTAGCGAGGAAGATCCACCCAAGAGCCCTTAAAACTAACATAAGAATTAAAGATAAAGATGGGAAAATCCAATATTCTCCGTCCTCGATAGCAGAAATCTTTGGAAAATTCTATGCATCTTTATACTCAATACGAGGTAAATATGCAGATATGCCATGGGATAGCTTTATAAGTAATATAATGGAATATATAGAAGAAGCGAACGTACCTGGACTGGACATTGAGGACGGAGAAAAATTGAATTCGATAATATTAGAAAAAGAACTAAAAGATGTAATTTCATCATTGAAGGTCAACAAGGCCCCAGTGCCGGATGGATATACAGCTCGCTTTTATAAACAGTTTGAGGAGCAATTAAGACCCTTTTTTACGAAAGTATGCAACTCAGTTACAGATGCCTGCCCCTTTCCTACCCAGACATTAGAAGCCCATATATTGGTGCTCCCAAAACTGGGGAAAGATTTGACAGAATGCAGACATTATCGTCCAATATCTCTCATCAATATTGATTTGAAGCTATATGCAAAGGTATTGGCCTCTAGACTAAAAAATGTCTTGCCTAAGATTATACATATG